TTTGGTTCTGAAAGAAGGAAAAATTGATGTCAATCGAATGAAGAAAATACAAAATGAAGGAACTAAAGAAGAAAGATTAGAAATTGAAACAACAGTTTTACATTTTGCAATTGAAAATGAAAATGTTCAGCTAGTTCAGCTGTTATTAGAAGGCTCATCAGTGGATGTAAATATTATGGAAAAATCTAATGAAAAAATCTACGTTGGATACACATATAAATATGTGAGAAAACATACTGCTCCATTACACGTTGCTATTCGAAAAAGTAATATTGAAATAATCAAACTTTTGTTGAATTATCCGAAAATTAATGTTAATATTCCATATGAAATCAATGAATACGAATATTACGATAGAAACAGCAAAACAACAGCATTAAATATGGCTGTTGAAAAAGGAAACGTTGAAATTGTCAAGCTTTTATTAGAGAGTAAAAATATTGATGTTAATTCAGTAAAATTTTTCAAATCAAGAGCTTATTATGAATCGAAAGCACCAATACATACTGCTATTGAGAATAAATTTGATGAAATTGCAAAACTTTTATTATTACATGACAATATAGATGTTAATAGTTCATATATTTATGAATCTATGAAAAAAATCAAGAAGCCTACATTAATATTTGCTGTTGAAAACAGAAGAGTCGAGATTGTTAAAATTTTATTAACAAAGCCTAATCTTGATATCAATTGTCTTAACATATATCTCGAAAGAATTGATTTGGGAGGAGGATTTCCTGAAGTTGATATGTATAACAAAAGTAAAGGGCTTAATGAGTACGTTGTTGTAAATAGAGAAGATGAAATAATATGCAGAACAGAAACAGCTTTATACATTGCTGTTCAAAATAATTATAATGAAATTGTTGAGTTATTGATAGCCAATAAAAATATAAACATTAATCTTCTTTGTGAAATTTCGAAAAAATTCATTGTTGAGCATTATGAATATGAATCAGAAAAAATTGAATCAAATAAAATAACAGCATTGCACTTGGCAGTTCAAAATGCAAATGCTGAGGCTGTAAAACTCTTGTTATCATGTCCAACAATTGATATTAAAGTTGAATCAGAAAAAATAAATTCTTTAAAATACACCAAAGATGCAAATATAATAGAAAAAGAAATTCACGATGATAATATTGATGCATTTGAGAATGTAACCAAAAAAACTGCATTAGATCTTGCAAAAGATTTAAATTTATCTGGCATTATTGATCTCTTTAAAAAATAATAAATAAAAATAATTATTAAATTTTGTTGAGTTTTTTTTTGATATCAAAAAACAGAAAATAAATCAAGTCTTGAAATAGGATAAAATTATCTTTTGGACCCATAAATTGTAATCTTTTGGTATTTTGAAATATTTCTTAAATTGATCAAAAATTGGAAAAGTAATGCTTAAATATTTCTTAAATTACATCAATATAATATTGATGTTTTAAATCAACAAAAGAATTTTGATGATGATCAAATGAAAAAAATATTTGAAAAATATGTTGAAATTAATAAAATTAAAAGTAATACTAAAGAAGAAAGTTTACAAGAAGATATTAATAAAGGAACTAATTATTCAGTAAGAGAAACCGAAAACCTCCGTGAAGTTATGGTTACTGTTCAAATCAACAGAGATTTAAAAAATAATTAATTAAAATATTTTTTTAGCTTTTAATGTCTTTAAACTAAGATTTTAGAATGGCCACCGTTTAAGGTAATGTTTATATTAATAATCGATCTAAGAATATTTAAAAATAAAATGTTATTTAACATAAAATCATTTACTTTCAGTAGGAAAGATTAAGTTGGGAAGCATCTTCGTTGAATTAAAAGAATATATTCTGATTTTTAAATGTATTTTTAATTTCCAAATCGGTGAAAAATTTATTTCAATTTTTTCAAAATTGATTGAATTTTGTATGATATAATTTATAATCATATTACATGAAATAAATAAAATATAATTAGTAGTATTTTTAGCACTAAAACAGTAAAAAAAATTATATTAATTCAATTTATAAAAGATGATAGTAAATGAAACAATTCTGGATCATATTTCACCTTTACTATCATTTTCATAATTTTTGAAAGAACTTTTTGTTAGTAATATTATTCAAAAACGTATAATTTTTATCAAAAGTATCGTATAAATTGAAAAAATTGAAAAGAAAATTAACAGATTTTCAAAATTAAATTATATTTTTCACTGTTTCTCAATAATAAATAATCTCTGTAATTTATGATTATGATTCTCCTTCACTTCATTAATTAGTTTTAGCAATTAAAAGAAGAAACCAAAGACAAATGTTTTCTCTAATTATTACATTCTTACTTCTCTTAAAGAAAAGCAAAAGTCATCAAATTAATAACAAAATCATAAATCAGCCAAATTATCTACCAAATATTGGCAAGTATTCACAAGAAATGATGATTAATGAGTCGGGTGTAGAATATTTTTATGCACATCAAAATCATACAAATTTAATTAACAGAAAAAAGACTGTTTTTATAACAGGTGCAACGGGAGTAATGGGAAAAGCTACTTTGGATGAATTTGTTCAACACTTAAACGAATTTCAAATAAAATTACTAGTTCGTCCATCCAAGCAAAATAAAAAAATGATGGCAAAATATCTATCCAAATATAATGAAGAAAAAAGCATTGAAATAATTTGGGGGGATTTGTCCAATTATAATGATGTATTAAGAGGTGTTAAAGGTTCTGACTACGTCCTTCATATTGGTGGATTAGTTTCGCCAAGAGCAGACACACTTCCATATTTAACCCAAAAAATTAATATCGGATCAGCACAGAACATTGTCAAAGCTGTTTTAGCTCAGCCAAATCGTAATGAAATAAAAGTTTGCTATATTGGATCAGTTGCAGAGACAGGTAATCGTAATTATCCAATTCATTGGGGAAGAACAGGTGATCCAATCAAAGTTTCTATTTACGATCATTATGGATTATCAAAAGTTTTAGCTGAACGAGTTTTTGTTGAAAGTGGAATTCGAAACTGGGTTGTCATGAGACAGTCTGGAATTCTTCACCCAGGTTTATTTAATAACATGGATCCAATCATATTCAATGTCCCAATGAACGATGTACTTGAATGGTGCACTGTAGAAGATAGTGGACGTTTAATGTTAAATTTAGTTAAGAAAGATAATGACAAAGAATTGCCAAAAGAATTCTGGAATCGTTTTTATAATATTGGATCTGGAGAAAATTATCGTTTGACCAATTATGAATTCGAAAATTTAATTTTCGAAAACATTGGGTTAGGAAAGATTGATAATTCTTTTAAACCAAATTGGTTTTCTTCTAAGAATTTCCATGGTCATTATTACATTGATAGTGATTTGTTAGAAAACTATCTTAAATTCCGGGAGAATGTTCCAACAATTGAATATTTCCAAAGAATGATAAAGAAAGTTGACTTTTATTACAGAATTGCTAATTATCTTCCATTTAAAAAGTTAATTTCATTCTTTGTGAAAATGTTCATGAGACTGATTGCAAGCACAAAAACGATGGGAACGCTTGATTGGATCAAGAATAATGACACAGGAAGAATCACTGCTTTTTATGGTTCATTAGAAGAATATAAAAAGATTCCAACTGATTGGAAAAATTACAAAATTGAGAAATTTAATACTTCTCTCAAAGATGGAATCAAAAGAAAACTAAATCATGGTTACAATGAAGATAAGCCTTTAAGTGAACTTGATATCGATGACTTAAAAGAAGCTGCTAAATATCGTGGAGGCGAAGTTGTTAGTAAAACAATGGTAAAAGGCGTTTTGAATAGAAAAATTATGTGGAAATGTGGTCATTGTGGTCATACATTCATGGCAACTCCTGCTTTAATCATCCTTGGTGGACATTGGTGCCCTCATTGCTACATTCCTCAAAATTCATGGAATTATGATTCAATTGCAAAATCAAATCCATTTTTCGCTCAAGTTTGGTATCATGATCATAAAATTAATGAAAATAATGTTTATCATTTTCACCATTCATTCAACCAACCTTGCTATCTTGATGATCCTCTTCATCCATTTCATGGACAAAATTTTATTAATAATGGCCTTAACCAAAAAGTGTTTAGTTTCTTTTCCAAATTATTACCATTAATATTCTCGCATTGATCTTTTGATTAATGTATATTTTAATGTAATAGCAAATATAATTTTATAAAATTACCATTGAAAAACAAATGAATTAAATGTTATTTAATATCTACTTTACCTTTCATTAAGATTAGAAATGATTGCAAATAAACTTTCATTATATAAAGTTTATGTAATTATATTTTTTTAAAAAATTAGAATTAAGTACTTCATCAATAATCCTTATATAATTAAAATAAATATAACTTTAAAAAAAAAAAAAAAAACAGTCTAGTTTATATAATTAGATTTTTATAACATTTAAGGCTTTGTGATGGACCTCATCAGTATTGAATTTACGTTCAAAAGTCAAACAATTAATGGAAAAAAAAAAAAAAATGCAAAAAAGCGACAACCATGGGATTCGAACCCACAAGGGACAAGCCCAGAGATTTCCGGTCTCACGCATTACCAACTCTGCCAAGCTGTCTTACATTATATATGTAAATTATTTATTTTTATGATAAAATATAATGCAAATTTTGTTATTTTTTCAAAAAAAACATATTCTCATTGTTGATTGTTAAAAGATTGCTAATTTAATTGTTGATTATAAAAAGTTCATAAATTTCAAAAATATTTATTTGATGACTCAAACTTGATTGCTGAAGATAACTAGACTTAGCTATTTGATAGATTTAATAAACTCGATTTCATTTTCACGCCAGTTTGTTTCTTTGTACTATTTGAATGTATTGAAAATAATATCATTTCACTAGAAAATATTTCAAATATTCATGAAACATTATATTAAAAATTTAGTTATTTAAAAAAAAGAAATATCATTTTGTAAATTAATAATAATTGAATATTATAAATAAACAAGAAGCCCTCGTAGTGTAATGGACAGCATACAAGACTTCTAATCTTATGGAGTGGGTTCGAATCCCATCGGGGTTTTTTTTTTTTTGCATTTTTTCTATAAAAATCAAACAAAAAAGGATTTATCATCTTTTTCAGTGAAAGGACTATTAAGGATTACACACTATTAGTTAACAATTATTGGCTAATAGTTAATATTCAACAAGTTAGCCAATGACAAAGATTATGATTTTGAATAAGCTGATATCAAAGAGATAAGAAAATATTTAGACTGGACAGCGACCAAGATCTCCAAAATAGCACAAATGGGATTCAAATCTAAATTGCATTTAAATTATTGTTTATTGCAATTGTAATCAATTTCCCTTCCAAAACAAACAAACAATTAATGAAAAAAAAAAAAAAAATGCAAAAAAGCGACAACCATGGGATTCGAACCCACAAGGGACAAGCCCAGAGATTTCCGGTCTCACGCATTACCAACTCTGCCAAGCTGTCTTACATTATATATGTAAATTATTTATTTTTATGAAAAAAATAATGCAAATTTTGTTAATTTTTCAAAAAAAACATATTCTCATTGTTGATTGTTAAAAGATTGCTAATTTAATTGTTGATTATAAAAAGTTCATAAATTTTAAAAATATTTAATTGAGGACTCAAACTTGATTGCTGAAGATAACTAGACTTAGCTATTTGATAGATTTAATAAACTTGTTTTCATTTTCACGCCAGTTTGTTTCTTTGTACTATTTGAATTTATTGTAAATAATGCAATTTCATTGGATAATACTTTAAATATTCATAAAATATTTTAAAACTAATCAATTATAACAAAAATTAAAAAATGATATTGAATAAAAAGAATATTTAAATAATAGAAATATTGACTAGAATATCATTATGTAAATTGATGATATTTGAATATTTTAAATAAGTAGGAAGCCCTTGTAGTGTAATGGAGAGCATACAAGACTTCTAATCTTATGGAATGGGTTCGAATCCCATCGGGGGTATTTTTTGCTTTTTTTGCATTTTTTTTCCATCACTGAAAATCCAACAAAAAAATGATTTATTAACTTTTTCAGTGAAAGGACTTCTCACAAATAGCAAACAATTATCTTTTAAACCTATTGAATATATCCAAATATATATATATATATATATATATATATATATAAATATAAATATAAAAGATTAGGAATTAACTATTTTTACTTAGTCCCGTTTATTTCTTCTTGTGTGCTTCAAGTAATTTGTTAGCATCTGCAATGATGTCAAGAACAACGCCTCCATTCCATGGGAAGAAGTTCGTTGAAGAACGAATTGGTGTAGTGTTTGCTTGTTGTCTCCAGAATTCATGTGCTGCATCCGTTGATTCCAACAATTTCTTTTCTTCTGGATACTTTTCTAACACTTTCTCAATCGCTGGTCTCGTCACTGGATTGTTGTAAATGTCTTCGAATGGTGTTTGTGCGGTGATTGGTCGTTCGATGACTCGTGTTGATTCAACATGAACTTTGCCAACAAGATCGATGTGTCTTGATGATTGACCAATCAAGATTTCGAATTCTCCTGTTGGGACATACCACTCATGAATTTCGGTGTTCCAGAATGCGAATGAACGCTTGTTCAATTCGAGGTCGACTGTCTTCGTCTCTCCTGGTTTCAAGCTGACTTTCTTGTAAGCGCGAAGTTCTTTGGGTGGACGGTATTCATATCCTGTCTTATCTGCGACATAAAGTTGAACGCAAGCTTTGCCTTCAACTGGACCAATGTTAGTAACGTCAACATGAGCGAAGACAGTTTCATTGTCCTTGAATTCATCTTTGTCGAAACGCAAGTTCTTGTATGAGAAAGCTGTGTAACTTAAGCCATGTCCGAATGGGAAAAGAACGTCCATCTTCTTCAGATCATAATAACGATAGCCAACATAAATGCCTTCTCTGTAGTTCACATTGTCTTGATGTCCTCCGAAATCGATCGTTGAAGGATTGTCTTCTAATTTCAGAGGGAAAGTTTCTGCAAGGTGACCTGATGGGTTCACAATTCCATATAAGATGTCTGCCGTGACTTCTCCAACTGCCTGTCCTCCAAGGTACGCTTCAAGAACACCTTTCACATGATTGAGCCATGGCATGTCAACTGGTGATCCATTATGAAGAACAACAACGGTGTTTGGATTCACACGTGAGACTTCAGAAACTAATTTGTTTTGACATTTTGGTAAATGAATGTGCTCGCGATCATATCCTTCGCATTCAAATGAATCTGGGAGACCAATGAAACAAACCGCAACATCAACAACGCGTGCAACTTCAACTGCTTCATGAAGAAGTTTTTCATCAACTTCATCTGTTTCATCTTTGCATCCTTCAGCATAACATATGTTTTGTGAAATCAATTTGGCTGAATCGAGTGCGTTAGTCACTTTGAATGCATTGATGTGTGACGAGCCACCTCCTTGATATCTTGGGTTCTTCGCATATGGACCAATGAATGCAACTTTTTGTTCTTTCTTCAATGGAAGGATACTGTGTTCATTCTTCAAGAGAACCATGCATTCTTCACCAATCTTCCTTGCAATCTTGTGATGTGCTTCTTTGTCAAAGTTTCCTTTGCCGTTCTTGATTCCATCGGACGATTTCAAAATGATATTGACAACACGTTCTGCGCATCTGTTCAAGATCGATTCATCCATGATTCCTTCTTTGACTGCTTTCACAATTTGTTCATTGTGCCATGTCGCGGGGCCTGGCATTTGAAGTTCAAGTCCTGCTTTGCATCCTAAAACTCGATCTGAGACGGCTCCCCAGTCACTCATGACAAATCCTTCAAAGCCCCAATCGCCGCGGAGAACTTTTTCAAGAAGCCATTCGTTTTGTGAACAAAATTCACCATTGATCTTGTTGTATGAGCACATAACCGTCCATGGTTTAGCTTCTCTCACTGCTCCTTCAAATGCAGCTAAATAAATTTCACGAAGTGCGCGTTCATCAATCGTTTCATTGATTGATAACCTCAATGTTTCTTGATTGTTGCATGCAAAATGTTTGACACATGCGCCAATGTTTCGGCTTTGAATTCCTTTGATGATCGAGCCTTCACACTTCGATGAGATTAATGGATCTTCTGAGTAGTATTCAAAGTTACGTCCACAGATTGGTGATCGCTTGATGTTGCAAGCTGGACCAAGAATAATTCCAACTTTCTCATGAAGAACTTCATCGCCAATCGTTCGTCCCATTTCTTCTAACAATTCCGTGTTGAAGCAACATGAAGTTGCACATGCGTTTGGGAAACAAATAGCAGGAATACTTGAGTTGACTGAACTGATATCACATGTTTCATCCTGTTTTCTTAAACCATGAGGTCCATCACAAACCATGATTTCTGGGATATTTAATCTTGGCAAAGAGTAAAGGTGCCAATTATCTACGCCTGAGCAGAAATTTGCTTTCTCTTCAAGAGTCATTTGGCTCACGAGCTGTTTGGCATTATGTGTCATCTTGTATAATAAAAAAGTGAAGTAATCATCAATCTTTTTTTTATTATTTTATATTTTCAATGGTTTTTATTAAAAAGTTGTTTCCATATTAATTTATGACAAATTTTCTATTAATAATTTATTTATTATTCAATCTTAATTCGTAAACAATGTTTTATATTCTAAATAATTGAAGGATAAACGATCAAGATGGTGAGTGCTCATTCAAAAATATAAAATAAGATTTTCATTTTTTATACATAAGTTCTTTTTTTATTTTTTACAATCAGTTTTCTCCATGTGTTAATAGAATTGAAAAAAGAATAGTCATAATAAACCAAAGTGGAAACAACTTTTTCAAAAAAATGTGGGTTCATTAACAAAAAGTTTCGAAATACACACAATTTTTTGCTCAGATATGCCTTTTATAGATTTAAAACTATGAACATTTCTATTAGTTACTCAAAGAAAAAAATTTTTTACAATTTAAAAAAAAAAATGTCAAAAGATTGATTTATATTCAAAATTTCTTATTGTATTATGAAAAAGTTTTTTCCACCAAAAAAAGGTGAAATATATTCAACCAATTATAATATTTGTAAAAAAAGGTCAAATAAATATCTTCTCCATTATTAAATTGTCATTAAATACATTTATAAAATTATGTTGATTTTAATATTTCATCAAGGCTAAGAATTATAAATTTACTAAACAAATAATAAACATCATGTCGGCAGTATTCGTATTGGGAATTGTTTTTTTATACAATTGATATGAAAAGCAGCTGAAAGTATTAATAATAATGATTACATTTGTAATTATTTATATAATTCTTAGATTTTCTTTGTTAGTTAATCTGATCTTGAAGTCCAAGCCTTAAATGTTATAATCAATTTTTATAAAAAAAAATACATCACTTTTTTTAAAAAAGATAAAATGATGAATGATAAATTCAGCAAATGAGCAAGCATATTAGGAAATTGATCAATTTGAAACTTTGATTCAATTTAATGATAATTCTTGTAAATATTTAAGTTCTTCCTTTTTTAAAAGTTTCAATTAATTCATTAATTAAATTATAAATGAAGACTCCTTTCAACAATTTTTTTACACGCTCACCTACATCTAAAATTATATTTATTCTTTATATTATGACATTTGTAGAATCCATCAAACTCCAAGTATTTCGTATCATTCGCCTCACGTTACTCATGATGAATTTGAAAGATTGCATATGGGTTAAATGTTATGTATTTTTTCATATTTTACTTGTTTTTTATTCCTTTTATTCTGTTAAATATATAGAATCAATATGAAAATCATTAAAAAAACTTCCTTTGCCAGCGAAAAATAATGAATGCAGATTTCAAACTCTAGTGAATGAACTTTATTCATTCATATAAATGTAAAAATACACTTTACAAGAATAAAATTTTTAGTTTCAGTTCTGAAGTTTCAATAACAACTTCTTTTGCTTTTTCATTGTTTTCATTTAAAATAGCTTTCTCATTGCTTTTTACATCACCTTACATTTTTATTCTTTGCAGGCCTTCATTACTCACACTTTTAAAAATACCAGAAAAAAATGGAA